CATGAATTCAATTGCCTAACATACTAGTAAACTCTGGGTTTCATTTTAGTATCTGCCAAAGTTTCATATATAAAGACTTCTTCCCAGGTTGGTAGTATCAGGAGGTACTACCTGTTGATAGTATCTCGTGAGAAGTTGTAGGGCCTTGTGAGAGAGAGACATAGTTCATTGGTGTGATGTCTATAAAATGGTGATTTAACACCACCCTGTCTGCCCTCTCTAAACTTCCTGGATAATGATGTGACCATTCACAGTGGCTCACACTTCCCATTTTATCAAACCCTCACCAGTGTCCCAAACATATGGAACTAAAAATCCCAGGCTTAAATCTCCATATCCATGAGCCATAATAAACCCCTCTTTACTTTATATGTACCCTGTGTTTTCACTGATTTTTTTGGTACATAAATTCAATAGGCTTGCTTATTTCTTATTTTTATGTAAATTGTTTTATTTATATAGATGACAGGAGAAAGTATTTCAATTCTTATTACACATATAGAGCACAGTTTTTCATATCTCTGGTTGTATACATACTATATTCGCCCCAATTCATGTCTTCATACATAAACTTTGAATATTTATGATTATGAAACTACACCATCATTAATTACTCTATGCCCCCTCCCTTCCCCCTCCAACCCCTCTGCTCTATCTAGAGTTCATCTATTCCTCCTATGCTCCCACTCCCTATCCCACTATGAATCAGCTTCCTTGAATCAAAGAAAACATTCAACATTTGCTTTTGGGGGATTGGCTAACTTCACTTAGCATTATCTTCTCTAATACCATCCATTTACCTGCAAATGCCATGATTTTATTCTCTTTTATTGCTGAGTAAAATTCTATTATGTATATATGCCACATTTTTATGCATTCATCTACTGAATGGCATCTAAATTGGTTCCCAATTTATAGAATTGTGCTGCAATAAACACTGATGTGGCTGTGTCCCTGTAGTATGTTGTTTGTAAGTGCTTTGGGTATAGATCAAGGGGGAGAATAGCTGGATCAAATGGTGGTTCCAAATAGCTGGGTCAAATGGTGGTTCCATTCTCAGTTTTCTAAGAAATCTCCATACTGCTTTCCATAATGGCTCCACCAGTTTGCTGTCCTAGCAGAAGTGTATGAATGTACCTTTTCCCCCACATATGCACCAACACTTATTGTTGTTTATATTCATATTAACTGCCATTCTGCCTGGAGTGAGATAAAAACCTTACAGTGGTTTTGATTGGAATTTCTCTAATTGATAGTGATGATGAACAA